GCAATTAAAATACAGCAGGTGGAGTTAGTCAATAAGAAAGGGGAGAAGTTTAACATTATGGACGAGAGTTTAACCGACATCAACCTTATATCTATATACCATCGTTATGTCAGCACCCCTGTTAATCATAACTTATACAACTTAAAGGAAGCGATAAGCAACAACGAACACGTTGATAATCAATGTTGGATTAATGCTTTAAGCGATTTTTATAAAGACAGTCTTATGAACGATAAAAGAAGGGACAGACTAACGAGGGAAAGGATTATGGAAATCATAGGTAGGAGTGATTTTTACAGCAGGGGGGCAACCATTAATGAAATGGATAAAGTCTTTAAACATTACAGGATTCCTGCCCGAATTTTTGATTGCTGTGAAAACCTTATATACAGGCACGAACCCGAAGAGGCAAACAAAAATCTCAAATGTTTTTATGCTTTTGTGAAAAACAGTCACATCTACACAATGAACAACAACCTAAAAAGCATACAGCAGAAACTGGACAATGTAGGCAAAAAACCCATAGTTAAAGCATCTACCGATTATCACATAAACGAAAAGGAGGAACCGCCACAATTTATAATGATTAAGGACGCTTACGAAATATTAAAACTGGTCAGTAAGGATAAAGAACCCATAACGAAATACTTAGTGCCTGAGGACAACAACCTAACAAAAATATTATTTCAAATGCTGGGCGGTGGATATGAACCTAAAATTCGTTTTCAAGCGGGTATAGTGTCAGAGATACGAATGAAATTAAAGAAAACCACCTTTATAGTCAAAACTCAGAATCTAATAAAAACATCGTCGGACGGATGTATGGCAATAGACAACGAAGAAACCTATAACAATATGAATAAGGCAATGTTTGATTTTAATAAGTCTTTGTTTAATCCACTTCATAAATCGTTTTATAACCAAGTGGACATAGATATATACGAAGAGGCAAAAACCATAGTGCCTGTGGGTATGTTTGTATCACATAAGTTTTCGGATACGATGCCGAAAGTGGAACTGGATATGTCCAAAGCATTTACTAAATCGTTTATGGATATTGTGGAGACATTCGGTTTTAATCAGTTTGACGTGTGGCAACCATATACAGAACAAATGGATTTTAACAAAATGCACGATTACACCTTATATTATGTTCAGAACACGGGCGAGAAAAATAATATAATGTTAAACAAGAAGTTTTGTCTCTTATACGGTTTGTATTTAAAACAGTTGGACACATCAGAAATCAAAATCATAAGTTATAAACAACCTTCGTTTCAGCATTCGGTGAATTATAAAAACATAGTCGGGGAGTTATGGGACAAAAAAATAAGTGAAAACGACGAGGAGGACATGGCAATTAAAAAGCAGGTGGCGGTGGTGAATTTTGGACTTTTAGAAAGAACCAACAGCACCGACCAAAAAAGCATACTGTTTAAAAATCTCAAGGAGGCATCGGATTTTCAACAAAAATACGGGGGAAAAATACACAAACTAACAGAAGAGGAAGTTAAGTTTTATGAAATGGACGACGATGAATGCACCGAATGGAACGAAATATCGGATGGAGAGTCCTACTACATAGTAAACATATCCGATAAAACAAAACTGGCAAACGGGTTCGTTTATATAAAGGAAATGTTGTTGCAACAGCATAACTTTACTATGTATCAGTGTTATAGCAGGTTACTTAAATGCGGTGTTAAACCTTATAGTGTCAAAACCGATGCATTTGTTATAAACGCCGAAGACCTGCCCAAAGCAAAAGAAGCACTGGGAATTAAATCGGGGGAATCTACAAAGTGCATAGGTCAGTGGAGAGTAAATAAAAGCAACGACGATATAATTATGCCCCGCGAGGATTACCACATAAAAGAAAACACAGCACTTAAAATACCAGTGTATATAAACAAGAAGATAGACATACAAAACGAATACGACACAACGAAAATTGTAGAGAAAATCTTTTCAGTAAAGCACGTGATGATTACGGCAAAGTATGCCGGTTCTGGTAAAAGTTATATATGCGAAAAAATCAGGGACTTAGGTTTAAAAGTGCTGTTTGTGTGTCCTACTAATAAACTGGTTCAAAAATACGGAAAGGATGCCACGACAATTAACAAATTCTTTTCCATAGCAGTGGGCGACGAAAAATTAGAAAAGTTTGACTATTCTAATTATGATGTTATAGTGTTTGACGAGATTTATTTTAACGGGTTAAGGGTTTTAAATAAAATTAGGGAGTTCGTCGAAACACATAAGGATTTAATAGTGGTGGCAACCGGCGACGGTAAGCAATTAAAACCCGTTTCGGAAATAACTAACCTACACGACCACGAAGTATATGCAAACCACTGCATAAACAAAATATTTAAATATCATATTTATTTACGGGAGTGTAAGCGGTTAAAGACTCAGGAGGACAAAGACAAATTAGCAAACATATACGACGACATATTCATAAACAAAGTGAAAACGAAACAGTTGATAGAAAAATACTTCAAATACACCGACGACATACAAACAAACAATAACAACATAGCATACTTAAACGATACATGCAAGGAGGTCAGCAACGAAATAAGGAGGCAACAGAATCACAAAAACGAATATGACATAGGTGAGGTGGTTATATGCAGGGAGTATTTAAAAACAACCGAATATAAATTTCAAGTTAATTTTAGATACATTATTCATGAGATTAACGGCGATAAGGTGAAACTAAAAGATGAACACGAAGGATTTATACAAACCTTACCCATTGATGTTTTAAGGAAGCACTTTATATTTAGTTACTGTTATACCTGCCATAGCGTGCAGGGTTCCAGCATAAACACGGGTATAACAATCTTTGATTATCATCATTTTAATATTTCTAAGGAGTGGTTATGGACGGCAATCACGAGAGCAACCGATTTAAATAAGGTCAGGTTTTACAGGTATGATGATAATAAAGATACTACGTTTAATAAACAATGTATCTTTAAATATTTAGAGCGCAAGGTGCAGAACTACAAAGAACAGGACAGGGCAGGCAAAAGAAAGATAGACCATAAGAACTACATAAATGCTGAATGGATGTTAGATAGGTTAAACGGTTTCTGCGAAAAATGCAGTGTGGAATTTTATGTTAAATTAAAAAGCGGAAACATAACAACGAATCTAACAGCACAAAGGAAAGATAACTCACAGAGTCATACCATAAGCAACTGCATAGCATACTGTAAGAAGTGCAACTGCGCGGCAAGCGATAAGGAACAATTTTAAGAATAACAGTTTTAAAAATAATGTTTAGTATTTTATATGACCGAAGGTTTGGAGGACACAATTAACGACATCAACAACACATTAGAAAATATTAATAACAAAATAGAAGAAATACACAACAAACTATTTACACCAGTTTCCAGCACCACAACAAAATCAACAAAAGACACAACATATCAAAACAAAAGAAAAGCGTATTTGACAAAACTAAACAACGGAGATATTACAAACCCAAAACCAACGACGATGGAATACTACGAAATCAAAAAAGAGGGCGATGTTTATGTATAAAAAAAGTTTTAAAAGTTTTAAAAAATATATAGTTTATAATATATGACCGTTCACGACGAACTGTTTGAGATACAATACAGAGTAGCAAAGCACGAATTAGAAAAATTAGAAATCATCAAAGAAAGCAGGGAAAGCAAAATCGTGGAAATAAAGCAAAAATGCGTAATAGAAAAAGAAGAACAGGAACGTTTTGATAAAGAAATGACATATTTAGATAAACAGATTTCATTACAGAAGGAGATAATTAAATTGTATGAGGATAATTACATATATTACCAATGAGAAAAATCTTTGGAAAACTACTTAAAGAAATATTAACTATATATATTAGATAGTATGATGTTCAGTCACGAGGAACAGGAACAAATTATTAATGAATTCTTAAATGCATGTGGAGAAAAACAAGAAGAAGATTTTAAACCGCAATATGACAGACTTAATACACAAGCAGGAGAACATATATTACAAATTAAAAATATAGAAACAAAAAATTATGTGCCAATCAAAGAAGCAATACTAAAATTTATGGAACAAGCACAAAACGGACGAAATTTGTTAGATGAACCATATGTATATACTCGTAAATTTACATGGTTTAAATCATTAAGCAAATATACGAATTTGTTAAACATACACAAAAAAGGAACACGATATGTTTGCAGTAAAGAACGGTTGGAACAAATAGATTTTAAAATAATAGAAGCACCCAGCACATTACATAGAAATTGGCATTGCTGAAATTTTGGAACTTTGTTCAATTTATTTTAACATAAAAAAATCGTATAAGGTAAATTACCAATGAAAATTCTATTCAACGACAAAGAACATTGAATAGAAATTTCAATTTAAAAAATCGTGAATTTCGGGTTTATGAGTTAGGGGGTGGTTTTGAAAGTTGGTTTGGAGATAATTTTTTATAAATTTTCGGTTTATTGTTGGTTAAATTGGGTGAGGTGGGATGTGGTAATTGGGGATT